GGGTGTCCAATGTAGCACGCACTCAGGGAATATGCACCTTTCACTCTCGGTTGCATGTGCTAATCCAAAACTTGCGTTACATTTCAACGTCTGATCATCTGGTCAGAAGTTACGGCAAGATAAACCTCCTAATCTTAATCCACGTCATGCCCGAATACGGCCCAAAAAAATAACTTCCCGTCGCTGCGCTCAAAACCGTTTCATTGATCATACTTTCATCAGTGATGGGGTCGGGACGTACGGCAACCTTGGTCGTTTCTGCAGCCGCAGTCGAATTATCAGCAATTCCAAGGAATTTGAAAGCAAGTAGTGAACGGGTTGGAGACTCTCATGAAGCGATCGTTGCTTTGGAGTTATTCACAGAAAAGATTCGCAAAGATTCATAGCTGGCCCAACTGCAGTAGTCCAACTGCCTGGGCCGCTTCGATAGGGCATGTGCTGACATTTGCATTTAATGTACCTCACCGAAAAATGAAAGAATAGAAAACGACAGTGTGTATCTGGTGTCGGAACCACGCATTTGCAATAATCATAGTTAAGTTGAGCTGGCAGGTAAGTATCATATTTCTGTGATTACTGTTATGCTCACTTCCATTCCTACGCTCATTTACCGTAACCCAAACTTGATATTACTGTTCATTGGTAAAAACAATCGGCTCCGTAGTATCGTGTTCTCTCCTCTAAAATGGATTGGCACGGATCTGAAGGACTGATACAGTCCATATTATAAGTCGACCGGAAGGTGGCCAATACAGTTTGCGGATACCAAGACAATTCAAATCGTGAAAGTTAGCGAGTATAGCTGGGAAACAGAACATGTTAACGGCTCCGAATGCTCACTTAGGATTAGCATCGACAAACGAACGATTTGGAATGGCTGGATATATCATTTTCGGATGTAGATGGCAATTATCAAGTTCTTATCATGTAGAATTAACTTACAGAAGAAGCGCACGAAGCCCTCACAACAGCAGGTTTCAGTGAGTAAAGATTCCCTTCATTGACGCGAATTATGAGAAGAGTCTGAATCTAGCGTGACCTTTTTAGCTTTTCGCTCGTATACCGAATGGCTAGCTGTGACCATCGTGTGATGTACCGACTGTCCGCATTAAAATCTGTCCAGATATGTGTGTCCGGATGTTTTCCTTTAAGAAAAATAAAAAGAAACAAACAAAAGAGTGAGTTGATGCTAATCTTAAGTGGATTACCTTTTTTTTAAAGAACCTGGCAAACAAGCACCAAATCTCATTATGCTTCTCGTCGAACTGTTCTTTTCAAAATAATCAGGCCTGCTCTCCCCTAACCACAACAGATTAAGAGATTCGAACGGATAACCTTAATTAATTCACTTCGAATTGAATATGGTATACTTTCCAACCATCTCGATAGACTCGTAGCTAACGATCGCAGTGGGATATTATCAGGTATCCTGAGTCGGCAAATAATGTAAACGGAGGACTTCATCTTCTACCACTTGTAGCTTGTATTGAGATTCACAAACTAAACAGCCAATAGTGATATTTCATGGTGATCCATGAATGCTCTTTTTAGTGTAGCCCTGTTTGAAAGGCCTCGACAGTACGTACTATGCGTTTTGAATACTAAATAGCAAAAAGAAAAAGCTATTCCCAGTCTAAGCAGCAAGCAATCTGGTGAATAACTGTGTTCTGAAGTCCCGTAGCGCTGGCTTGATGAGCACCCGAAGACACTAAAGGGCGTATGTGGCACAATGCGCCGAATCAGGGGCTGTAGTATATGTCAACAGGTCGCTGCCAGCGACTTAAATGAGCATTTCCAAGCAAAGATGTCATATACATCATTGGTCGTATAGTGCAGAATGCAGAATTACTTTTCTTACCATTAGCTTTGACAATCTAACGCCGATAAAAAGCATTGCTTTGTCTTTGGTATCCAGTCACTGCAGTAGCATGTTGCCCTATTTGAACCAAATCGATTAGTTCAATAAGAATCCGTCAGCATACATGTTTTACAGTCGCTTTAAATCTAAAACGGCCACGCCTCATCGAGGTGGTCTACGATTTTTCATCACTGAACGGAACCTCAGCCCTTCCAAAGTTATCGCTGCTGTTCAAAGCTGCACGAGATGCATCCGTGAGCTGTTCCCACATGATCAATTCCTGGTAGTCGCCGTCCAACTCGGTGAATACCAAAACCGGTGAGGTCCAGGAAGTCTCGTATTGGAACCGGAGCGACGTGCTCGACCCGCCAAC